GAGAGAGAGAGAGAGAGAGAGAGAGAGAGAGAGAGAGAGAGAGAGAGAGAGTGTGTGTATGTGTGTATATGTGCGAGCGAAAAAGAGAGAGAGAGAGAGAGAAAGAGAGAGCGAGAGAGAGAGAGAGAGAGAGAGACAGAGAGAAAGAGAAAAGAGTTCAGAGAGAGAGACAGCATAGATACAGAGACTAAACCAGCACATTCTCTTAAACAATTTATTATTTCCCTGACAGATTCGAAAACATCCTGCAACATTCACAGCTTCCCGAGAAGCACACATTGCAATCTGCCATTTTACAGGTGTTTCAAAACTAATGCTGGCAGAATCTTGGTGTATCAGCTGGTTACAGTTTTTGCCTGGGTGAAATGTGGAAAATTTGAGCCAAGCCTTTCTCAAATACACTTAAAATTTTGTTTTGTTAAAAACGAAAAAAAAAATTTAAAAAACAAAAATTGTTGTGGGATCCTGCATGAGCGAAATACAAATGTGTCACCACGCAGTAGAATCAGGGCCTCGGCAATTTTTGGGCATATATAACATTATTGGTATCATCCTAAAAGTTGTTCATTTGCCATACTGTGGATGAAAAAAATATCCATTTATCTTGAATGGAAGTCGAGATATTTGCAATTGAAGGAGGAGGTCGCCTGGTTTCAGAAATGACCGCCAAAATTTGGCGACTTCCTTAACTTTAAAGTCCTTGGAAACTGCAAATTTTCATTTTTTGCGCCTTTAATCGCCATTTTTCCATAAAATTCACATATAAAGTGTTTTTGAATAGACATACAAGGTGTCAAGCCAAAAAAACAAAAATACAAAATAAATTTCCAAACTGGCCAAAAAATGCCAATTTCTCGAATTTCATTATTTTGACGAGCGCCTGATTTCACCCCGATGCCTCACAAATACATAGGGCCTACTATTTCAATAGCACAATACAGTCAGGCACAAATACAACAAACAGTGAAAGCTCCAAACCATGGATCATCATCATCCATGGCCAGATCTATGACAGACATCGGCGATCATGGTTCTCCATTCATTCCTTTGCTCGGATGCTCTTAAAAAAGCTACGTTTCCCTGATCTTTCCCGGTTACCCATTTGTTTAGGTTACCCAAGTATGTTGTGCTGGGCCTACCCCTGCCTCGCTTGCCCTCAATTTAAACCATGGATACCTTATACAATTCGCCACTGCTAAACTTATATCTCTTTCATTTTTCTTTATCTGTTCTCAATTACGGACGTGTCAAACACGTATATTTGCCAATCCCCGGCATGTGTGAATTATCCGGTCCCATCTGTACCTTGTGGTTTCGTGGGTGGAATAAAAAACAGGAACGACAGAAGAAAAAAGAGGCAGAGACAACTGAAAGAAGTGAAATGTCAACAAAGCTGTTCCAATGTTTTAAGCAGAGAAGAAAGCAAACTTTTTCAGGAGAGAGAATGGGTTTTTTTACCAAATGTGCCTACTTTATGTATATATATTCTTTTCTTTTTCATTTTTTGTTTTTGGTGGGGGGGG